TCATTCGTTCAACGATTATAACCGATTATAAACGAGATCGCAAAACATCTCAACTCACGTCGATGTTCGCAAACTGTGAACTTTTATTGGTTTTGTTGAGCATATCGATTGCGAATCCATCCAACTCTGCACTCGCGATACACATCAACTTCAGCTCGTCGATGCGATGCTCTGCTCTCGCAAATATTTCATTCAATGCGTCCACATATCTCAAACAAGAATCCATTTCTTCTCCGATCACTCGCAAAGCAGTTGAATGAATGACTACACATACCTATGTAAGAAGGGTTGTGTGATTCTGGCATCGTCTTGATTCGAACATGAAGTGCTTGAGTCAGTATCGTTGTTGGCTTGCTGATAGCGCCTATCAGAAGGCAGCATTTCGTCAGTGTGCGCTCTGTTCGTATTGACCTCGTTCAAACAACTTCTTTTCCTGAAATATCATAAATCGGGCACATTCTATTCATTCGTGCTCACTTCAAACCGTTGCAATATCAATCAATCAATCCATCAATTGATTTCCCTAAATGAAGTTTGCCGGAATCAACAAATAAAGTAAGCATTCAACAATGTCTAAAAGCTGCATCAGCTTTTGCATCGCAAATGGCACAGATTTTAATACTGAAGATGCTATTTGTTAACGTTACATTTCAGTGGAACCTTTATGAAGACTACATTTCTTAAGAACAGTAAACAGACAGTGAGGGATGGATGGATGGATTGATTGTTGATGTGATGTTATATGAATTCAAACGAACGGTTCTATATGAACAGTGGGTGATGTGGTGGTGTCGAAATGAAGTTTTCTCGCCGATATACGTCGCTTGGTGGTCGGTGTTGAGTAGGCAGCTATCGCCTCGGCACCTATCGCCAAATCACTCGCGAATTCCGACGACGCCTCAGAGGACTGTCTCCTGCAAACAATTAAACTCAGACTCTTTTTCCATCTCGGATTCTTTCTCTCTTAATCACCGCACAATACGTCGTCAAAAGTCAGACACTAAATCAAGTGAATAAAAATGAGATTACTCCATAAAATGGCACAAAATGAACGAACGTCAACGGATTGTTATTCGGTTGGTTATTGGCGTTCGTAGATGTGTGTGAGTTAAGATGCGGAATGAACTCGTCCAACTGCGATAACACTGGATCACTGATGTCAACCTGTTTATCTGTTACGAACATACCTTGTCCTTCCCTGTCCATCACACCGCCATCTCTTCAAATTATCATTTAGCTATCACACATGCATCGTCGTGGTAACCTTTTCATTCATCATATGCATAAATAATGGACGATGATGGTAAAACATTCGGTGCTAACAATTATTATCAATTAAGATCGTCCCAGTCAAATGCATGCAAATACTATTCGTTAATGGTTCACGCATTTAATGTCGTGCATACTCATTCATAAAATTATCCGACCCTCTAAATACACCGATCCCAATAGCGAAAGTATTTCTTTTATGAATATTCACTGAACATGATCAAGTATTGCAATCGATGTGATTGATGATCACTACAAAGAATATCATTTGATCAGAGTGCAACAAACATAAATAACATTTATTGAATCATTGAACAATAATTTATACAATCAATTCTTTCAATAGTTCTTCACATCTTTTGTCCACAACACCCCTTTCGATGAGAGATAACAACCCTGAAGAATGTTAACAAACGTTATGCATTTGATTCTACTCGTATTCATCAATCACAAAACAACGAATCAACCGCAAACACTCACCTTTTTTATCAGTCTCATCCAAAAACATTGCAGCAATATCAAATCTCGGCACTGATCTTAATCTCAACAACGACTCGATTATTTTCGAGTGATTACAATCATTCACCACTTTATTAAATCCAGCGATCAGCAGCGATACCATGTCACTCTCTATTATATCACCAAATAACCGATCATATTCATTCGGATCTATTGACTGTAATCATTATCATTATCGTTTCTATTCATAAGAGTTTCACTCCCTTTTAATGAATGTATCAAACGTTAAGTAAAGAAATAGATACGATAAAGTATTCGGCGAATTTTTCAGGTGATTCTTTCAGAGATGTGTAGTCGACGATAAATTGATACGATGTTGTTGGAGGTGAAGGGATGCGAACGCAGTAATCATCAACCGATCGCGACTCACTAGCAATTTCTTTCTGCAATTTGCGCGATACTTTTAAAAAATAACTTCATTCTTATTCTCTCTTAGTCATTTTCAATGTGTTCACTCCATTCAAATCGTGTAATAACCTAAAATCTATCAACGAATACACACGTGAATCTATGCTCGTAACAAACAAACGAATGAATCTAAATAACGCAACCGTAACACGATGCGTTTCACATGAAGCACCAACGACTTTCACTGAATCAGAATGCAGTTCCTTGAGCGGAACCTCCGATCGAATCGTATCACATTTATCAACGCATCTCAACGTTACACTACGCACATTCTTCTAGAGTATCATCATCATTACCATTACAGATAACCGGATAATAGATATAAGCCGGATCATAGCCTGGCTCAGGCTCACAACATTAATGATATTTGTACACCACTCGGTTTCAAGCGAAACTTTCCTCCGCGAACGGGAAAGTTTTGCTTGAAACCGAGTGGTGTACCAATATCATCATCATTACCGTTACGTTAACCATTCAACAACAACTAACCCAACCAAAAACCAACTTTATTTTTGATGCTTTCTTTCAGTTTCATTGTTTCCTTATTACTGCTGTCCATTTTGAGGATTTCATCTAAATCTTTCGATGCCAATTCATACAATCCAAGGCTTTGCAAAGCCATTGCATGTCTGAAATTGTGCAGTTTTAATTCAATTCCACTGCAAGGACCAACAAAATAGTTCAGAGCAAAACCCACCTATACCTCGCCTTCAGCGAAGCACCATCGAGAGCAATCGCTCTTTTTGAGTCCATCAACGCCTTCTCGTATCTGCAACTATATTCAATCACCTTCTCAATTAACCTTACATTCAAACAATTCACTAGTTTAATCCAATAAACTGCAATGCACGTCTTTGAAAATGACCACCTTTTCAAACACAGATAGGCTTGTGCTCGATTCGAGAGAACGGCTGCATTGAGATGGATCTGTAGAGATTTTGTGTAACAGTTGATTGCGTTCGAGAATCTCTTCGCTCGAAAGTGCTCATTACCTTCCAATCGCAACACCTCTGCTTGATCCTCCTTGCACATTCTCCACTTCAATTAGTCATTATTACCACACACCTGATCGTGCGTGCAACTGATCTGCATTATGCACAAATACGCAAATTTTGTAACTTTTTACAAACCAAACATGTTTCACATGCATCACGATTGGTGGAAGTAAGCACGGAAGATGCTATTCATTTTTTTTCTGAGAATAACGTACACTTTGCCCGTGTTTAGTTAGTATCACCTAATATATCAAACTTTTGTCGTACTCTTTTCATCGACATTATATTTGCATTTGATCAAAATTTCGTGAAAGACAAGTAGATGTCGAACGGGTAAATATATAAATTTAAAAAATAGAGATTGAACAGGTAAAGAAGTGGTTCATAACCATTCAACGAGTCTTATGTACAATCGAAAATAATAACGATATTGAAAATGAATTTATCAGCAACTACTTACATCAAAAAATAAAGCAAATAACGACTCGATTCATCAATGATAAAAACGATCACAGTCACAGCACAAATCAAATCGAACTCAACGAATAATCCATCTTAAAACCAATCAAATCAACGAAACCAAACGCACTCAGATTACGTTCAGATGTAATCGCGCTGATCGATAATCCACTCGTAATTGAATAAAGTTATTTACCATTCCGCGATCGATATCAGCCTGCAACACACTCATTAAATCCATCCTCATTACCAAGTCACCAATATGTTCGCAACTACTCACCAGCAACTGTGATGAACAAGCCTCATTCAGATTCTCAGGTACTACCACCAAAAGATTCGCTAACGCCTGCAACGACTCGAACTTCTTGCTCACCTCGGCTATCTTCCATAACATCGCACATTTTCTGCAATGAACCATCATCAACCGATACAAACCTTTTTTTAATCAACAAACTTCACACAAAAACACCTCTCAAAAACCTAAAAAACAAAAACTTCATTATTTCATACTCAAAATTTGCACTCTCTTCACTGCAACACACAACAATATCTGCAATTACAACACATCAAATCTCATTCAATTCAACACTTCATGTCATCAATAAGCAACGAAGGGACCGAGAAATGTCCTCCTTCGTTCATGTGAACTGAGTGTAAACGACATAAAGAAAGAATTTCACTGTTATAAGTGGATGCAAGCATCGAAATGCATCACATAAAAAAGGCATCGACTCTCTACTCTGAATGCACAATCGTTATCAGAATCGAATACAAACGCTGAACATCGAAAGCAACATTAAAAAATGCTTTACCTGTATTCATTAATATCACACAACAACAACATCGCCCCTTGTGAGTTATAACTAAACTGGTAGATATGTGCCAATATAGTCCTGTAAAAGCGTTCACTCAACTCGCTCATAACCGTCCTTAAATTGCCTCCATCCACACACTCGGAAATCACTGTCGTTTCTGCACTGATGTACTTCACCACTGCAGCACACGCCTGAACAGTGCCTTTCTTTGAACCATCTTTCTTCATTTACCTCTACTCATTCAACACAGCAATAAACAGTTCTCTGACAAATATAAGCATTTAATAAAGCAAAGCAAACAGAACACGAACGAACATTCGACATCACCGTAATCTGCTGATTGTCCTCATCCGGTCTGAAGTCTTGCTTCTTTTGCTCACTTGACAATATGAATCTAACATAACCTATCAGTGAGTTTAATTGCCTTTCCAATCCCAGATTCAAACGACCCTCGACACTCCTCAAACATCCATCACGCTTCTTCGCACAACTCTCTTCTACTTCACTATCTCTGTAATTATTCATCATTATTATTACTATTATACAAACAGGATCACTCGTTATTTTAAAAAAGTACCAACTCAATAAGAGGATATATGAAGTCATCATACTGCTTCGTGAATAGATGTGTTATAGCACCCGCCTGCTGAACAACTCCAAAGAAGTAGTTGGGTGGTTCTGATTTCGGTTCCGCTAACGATATACCTTTAATAACAACACTATTAACAAAACAAATGGCGTAATCGATAGATCAATCCACAAAACAACAAACAACAAACCGGCTAACGATAGATCAATGGCGTAATCGACATGTTCAGTGTATAAGTATCGAATCAAAATATCGAATATTGTCTCGATGACTTTTGATGACTCTTCTTTCATACACAACTGAAAATTCTCATTCTCATTTCAGTCAAAAGTGGATTTCTTCAATAAGATTGCATTAATGAAGATTATAGAAACCAACCAATTGACCCCGCTGGAAAGCATTTTTTGCTTCATGAAGGATATTTATAGCCACTTCCTCAGACAAGAACGTCTCACCACCATAATTATCAACGTTCAATAGGCGTGCTTGAATGTCACGCTTTAAATCTTGTAACCTTAAACGAATACACATTCAATTTCATGCCAAATGGTCACAGCAATAATCACAACCACAATACAAATTAACAATAACCCTCCACTGGTGATCTGTTTCTTGTGATGTCCTTTCGAATCATAGTAGCGACTGAGTATCGCTTTGCACTGTTCACATAAGAACTGTTGTTCATATCTGAAAATGAATAACAAGTGAACCTTCACATCCCACACAACAACAACAAAATCAAAAACGAATTAACAAATTAACGGATCAAAACCAACTTCGGATATGTTTCTAAGTACTTCACGAAGACCGAATGCACTAAAGTCGGTAGGAAATGAGCATCTGACCCGCCGACTTTAAACGTCGATAGATTCGATACCAATTTCTGTGTTCTGCAACAACTCTCCTCTAACAACTGATCCATCATCTCCAATAGTGTGAATATGAATGAATAATAAATAAAATAAACCTTGCATAAAGATCATGCAGACTGTTTAAGTAGGCATCCAAGTCGTTTTCAGGATCACTCAGTTTTGAGCATAATGTTTCCTGAAAATATACAACTCTTAGTTAGTCGTAAATTTACACTGGATCTCTAGAAGGATGACTGACACTTATTGTTAAATGGAGATTCAATTTAAAATGCAGCAAATCAAACAACAAATCAAACACCTGAAGTTTGCCGTGAAAGAAGTTGAGTACAAGTTTCGACATGACTTGTTCGGGATTGGGGAAAATTTCTTCGAGCATAGGCTGTGTTTTTTGACAGAGTGTTAACATATCGTCGAATATATCCACGCCTCGAAATGCGTTGATTTGCATGTGCTCTACGAAGGCATCCAGACACTGTGAATAACCCTTCAAACATTACGTTTAAACGCTGATCACTTCATTTCACTGAGTGAGGAAATCGTCGCTGTTCGCACACATTTGATTTATTTACTGATCTATGCATAGAATTGTGTTCGAACGATTTTGCTACAATCAACATTACAATAAATACTGCATCAAGAATATGAAATGGACCTTGAATTCAGAGAGAATGTTCGCGATTCGTTTCATTCTGAAACGATCGCCCACACGATGCGCTCTAACAAATTCCTCGATCATTAACCGCTCGATTTCGTCGTATTTGTGTGCGATTCGGATTTGGACGGTGTTGTACTTGTCTTTGGATAACTCTTGTGATATCAACGATAACTTTTGGATCATCGACGCCGATTCCAATAACTGAACTGATTGATTTCTTTTATTTTACAGAATTGCGTTTTTATACAACAAACCCTTTGAAATTACAGCATTCATAAGAATCGTCAGTTTTTATACGAACTCAGATGAAATATTCTTGAAACAGTCATCCAATTAGCCTTATTATCATCACCAACGATGCAATGTCACATTCTCATATAAACCTTATCAAAGGCTCATCGAATTGATTGAAAATTCTGCAAGAGAAACGTAAACTAATGAACGAACCCTATCGGGATCAGTGAAAATATCTGAATTGAGAGGTTGGTCAGCAAGGAATTCATCGAAATGTTTGATCAGTTGCAACGCTTCGCTTGCTCGAGCCCGAGGTATGTGCACGCTCTCGAGCTGATCACCCAAATGGACCACTTTCGTTGAGACTGACTGCATCGTACTGTCCAATTGCTTCAAATTGTTCCATCTTCGTAAGATACTTTCATTTCATGTGTTGTAATCATGGTGATGAAAGAGTGATTAAAACACTCACCTTGAGCTTGTCTAATGCGTTTGCATTCTGATCGTGTAATGAATGAAGTATATTCAAGTACTCTTTTTTACCACTGTTGCACTGCTGTTCTAATGACGCGATTTTCGACTTAATTTACTTATCATTATTATCATTAATATTATATTTAAAATATAATTAATTTATAAATTAAAACATAAATACTATAATTTATCATCATTATTATTATAAGTACTTAAACAAATAATATTTATAAATGAACCTGAAACTGATCACTCAGCATCTGCAAATTGCCAATTTCCTCTTCGAATTTCGTTTTTAAGTCAATCACATTAATCTCTTCATTATTACCCGTCAGTCTCCACGCTAACCGTTCAACGAAATCTGTCGCATCAAATGGTTCCTTTAATTATCAAGAAAACTGTATCATCTAATGTGACAATAACAGAAAGCTGCATTATGATAGGGATGGATAAGGTGTCGATTCAATAAAGAATACGGCACTGCAATTGAAATGAATATGGTACTAGAAGTGGAAAGTGTTATAATTACCGATGAACTCGGTTATGAATTTAGAAAAGAACACATCTATAGTTTCATCTGTTAGGAGTACACTAGTGCAATGCGGAAAAACATGAATACGCTGTTATGATTGTTGTTG